AGACCCCGCACTGTCAACGGCTTGACTGCTTACAGTAGAAGAGAAGAGTTTTTCTGAACTACCTTTTCCATAATCCCTGTTAAAAAAAAAAAAACCAAAGCAAAACAAAACAAAAAAACAACATTTAATATAAAGATGGTCACCAATCCCTGTTTAAAAAAAACAAAACCAAAACAAAACAAACAAAAAAAGAAAACAACATTTAATATAAAGATGGCCACCAATGTCGCAAGCAACTACCCCGCTACAATCAGAAAATGCAGGGGTATTACGCAGGAGTGATAGAATGTCAAGTAGTTTGATTGTCTGGGTAAGAGTAGTCCTGTAAAAGAAGCTATTGGTGTGTAGCGACTGACATTTCATTTGACTCTGAGATAGCTTCCACTAAGGTTGTTGAAATAACAGTCACTACTAGGTACCAACAACATTCTTCTTCAAGACCACTCTAATCCGAAAGGTCTGTCTACGCATTCCCAATTTCAACCCGATTATGTGGTCCCCTACGGCAAAAAAAACTGAACAATTTTCTACAACACCTTTTAGTGATGATTTAAAATAGGGCTTAAACAGTGGTGTTCTTGAAGGAAAACAGGCTGTGTGGCTTTTCTTAATATAAAGTTAAGGATTGCCTACTAACTTACCGCAAGTTCTGAGTTAACAATTAGAGCACTGTCCCCCTCAACCAAGAACAGGCGCTTCACAATGAAATTTTGTATGCAATTTAATTTTACTTAACCTCATCCTTTAAGAATACTCTATTATACTGAAGCACAAGGCTACATACCATGGTAAAGGTTCTGTCTTACTAGCTCCTGTAGTTGTTAATGACGCGGAATTGGACGGAGTGTCTAGTTTCACAGTGATACGAGGGATGGGTGTGGGGAATGGCGATTCTGGAAAAGGTTCTGCATGATCTGTCTTCAGCTGAAACATAAAAATATGTGTGGGTGGAGATGAAAATGTATTTCGTTATGCCCTTGCTGTGTTTCAGTGCTTTGTGTAAGTGACATTATCCTCCTCCCTCTGATTCATCAACAGGTCATATCAAGCGAATCTACTGCTACTGCTCGTTAATCGATAAATTCGCAAAGCGTGTGTAACATGATAGTTTTTTTCAAAATGTAAAATTTCCGTAGTCGACTTATCGCTTTTTCAAACCCAAAAGTTCTTTGTGTTAGATAACCATGAAACAAAAAGGAAACTTATGGCACTGAATAACAGACTTAAAAGTCGCGCATGTCTTTCGTCCGTGCGCGCGTAAAAATCATATGTGCGCGCATAAAAATCATAAATGCGCGTCTGACTACAGTATTTACCCGGTACCCTGCGTCTGAGCATATGAAATCCGTCTGCACAGTTAGCATATATCTGAGGGTAATGCAATATATTGTTGGTACTTGACCCTTAACTCCCAAGATTCAAGTAGCAATTCTCCCCTCTGACCACTACTCATTTCCTTGTAAATTACGGGTGAAAGTTTGGTACATGTATAATATCACAATCACATCATCCGGCTGATAAGCCTGTCCGTTCTCATAACCTTTTTGCAAGATAAAATATTGGAATCACAAGGAGAAGTTTCATATTGATCACATCTAGGAGTTACAGGGTTTAAAGGAACTAAAATTCAAAAGTAACTTCTTTCTAGAGAACAGTAGATTTAATTGATTTAAGAACGCACTAACCTTTTTACTCTTATCTTTTTTCTTTTCTTTTTCCCTATCCTTTTCTTTCCTCTTTTTCTTTTTCTTCTTGTGTTCCAGTGCTGGGTCTATTAAAACATTTCCTGGCAAATTTCTTTCTGCGGGTGCAACCGCAAAGTCTGCCATGGAAAATTTGAGTCCCTCATGGGTAGAAGGAGTACTCCAATCTTTGGGTTCCTTTTTAATTGAGGGCTCTATAACTTTGTCTTTTCCTTTTTTGGCTTTTGTCTTTTTAGCAGGACCTGCCTTTGGTTTTGAATTCTTATTTTCTGATTTCTCTTTTACCACTGTGTCATTGGAAGGCAGGAATTCAGACACAGCAAACTGATGCCCTGCATCAGTCTCCTTCTTGATGGGTTTTATAATTAATTTTGGCATGCTTTCTTTCACTTCTATGTTTTCTTTGGCTGTTTCAGAGGCTGGCTGTGTCAAGGATTTCTTGGTAACAGGATTCTTGGTCTTGGTTGCTGGTTTTTTCTCTTTCTTTGCATTTGTTTTAGTTTTCTTTGAAGAGCTCCCTGTTATTGACTCAGTTTCCACTGGAGTCACACTTGTTGGTTTTGGCATGGGTGATTTCATTGGAGATGGTGACTTTTTCTTTGCTGGTTTCAGTTTTGGAGGTGTTTTTGGCGTAGCAGGTTTCTTTGCAGGGCTAGCTATGTTTTTAGCAGGCTTAGGCTTCTTTTTTGGGCTTGATTTCACCTTTGTACCTGGCTCCTTTCCTGCTTCTTTGCTCCCAACAGCTGTCTTTTTCTCCCCTTGTTTGGGTTTTGCAGTTGCCTTGGAAGTGGTGACTTTTTCTACAGACTGAGTAGCAGCTACAGGAGGAATACTTGATGTTGGTGGGATCTCAAATGTTTTTGCTGAACTCCAAATGTCAGGTGATGGAGTTGGTGATGGGGAGGATAGGTTTCCTTGCAGTGCTTCAAGAATGTCCATTTCATTTCCCCTGTTTCCTTTCTGAATGAAAGGTAGATCAACACGTCTCTTTTTTGTGTCATTTTCAAGCGCTGGGGGCATATCAAGAGATCTCTTGACAGCTACATGTTCAATAGAAGTTTCTTCAGCAACTGTCTTGATTTCCTTCCTCACGTATCCTTCTCCACTTGTTGGTTCTTCTCCAGCATCAACTGTGTCTGCATCTTCTGCTGTTGTTGCTTTATCTTCATCTGAAGGAAAAAAAGAAAACGGATATTGCAACCATTTGCTGACACGGGGACATATATTTAAAATAAAACAAAATAATGATAAGAAATGTCAATCTAAGAATATCTCAGCACACTGTCAGACACATGAAATGTTAATTGTCCTACATAATGCAGCACAGAATCTTCTCTAAGATTGAAACTCGACACAGAGAATAAGTTGGAAAGAAAAAAGAAAAAAGAGATTGCACTGGTACAGTGCAATTGGCCAAAAATACTCTCAATGCAGTGCCATGTAAATTGTATGTGAGTTAGATCCTAAAGGCCTTGATTCTGGTTCTAACAATGCATTTTTAATTGATGATTGTAATCTATTGAGTGGCAATCTAATATATTCCTCTATCAAAAGTCATATATCTTGACTGATGGAGTAACAAAAACGCAAATGGAGATGTAGCCCAGTCTTGGTATATCAAAACTCAGCTTTAAAGAGAGGGACATTGGGGTCTGTTAGAAACTGCAAAACAACAGAAAAAATCATCCAAAACCACAAAACTGGCAGAAGAATTAGATCAAAACTAAAAACCCCATGCAAAACTGATAAATTTTCACATCTCTGTTTTAAAATCCTAATCTATCCAATACAGTCACTGACAAGTGGAGTATATAGAGGTTTCACGGCTATTCAAGATCAGTGGAGGTGTATAATTGCTGCTCAGATTGACAAGAAACTGGAACCCAAATAGGAAAAACTGAAAACCACATCAGATACCAAATCCAAAAACCCATTAGTGATATTTACAAAAACCAACAACCAAAGGCTGAAAAAAACAGAAAATCCATAAACCACAATGAATACCGAAACCAAAACACTCAAATTATTTGGCACAAAAACCAAACCCAATCTAAAAAATATCCAAAACCTCAAAACAAAAAAACTCAATGCCCCTCTTTAAATGATAGACATCACCTCAGAGCACAGGGGACCAATTAATTCCTACAAAGTCTGAAGTTTTCCACTCAGCACCTTGCTCTTACAGTAAGTTCTATTGTTCAGGCTGAATTTCAAATCAGTGAGACTGGTGGGCTTTATCAGAGTTAAAGAAATGAATGTGTTAAACAAAAAAGCCTTTGGCACTACAAGGGAAAGAAGACTGCAGCAACAGTCATACAAAACCTTCATTTTGAAGAAGCTTAGAGACCAAGGGAGGCAAGTAGTCATAGTACTGCTCCAGTCTCTCTGCAATCTCTCCATTACGTGGATGATGGAGCACATTAGGTTTTGGCTTGGGATACTGTGGCAACTGATGAATAAATGGAACTTGGTCTACCTGGGTTACAAAGTCTTCTAGTTCGCCGAGGTAAACGCCAATATCTCGAAAGGCAAGGTCTAGGTCATCTAAGTTTGGCTCAGTTCTTGAGTCTATGAAATTTTAAACAAAAAATTATTCATCTCTCTTCCAATTACTCTAAATAACACCAATTCATTTTTGTTTTAGGATTGTAAATTAATGAAACCACTCAGCTTGTCTAGATATATTTTTTCTCGGTAGCTTATTTTTCTGCAATTAAGTAACAGCACAAAATAAACTAACGTGAAAAAATAATAAAAATTCTGTACTAGCTGTTCGTTTGTAAACGTTAATTTCTACGTGTACACATTGCATCAATCAGCATCCTATAAATTGTATGCACTTTGTTATGAAATATAACTGAACACTTCGTCCAAACTCACATATCTGGGAGTATCCATGCGCTGACTTCGCGATCTCCTCAAGATATTTCTGTAACACGTCGGTCAACAAGTCGTGGCTCGACTTTTGTAAGGCATCCCAACCCATGGACTGGCAGATCTGAGCCACCGCTATCTGAAGAGCACCGTGGTTAAATCCGTCACACATGGCGAATAAGGCCAAAAAAATTATCAATTCAATTTCTAAAAAGTAAGCATTTGCTATTTGTTTCACTTTAAAGAGATTACCGAGGAAAAATAGACTATTTTAAGCTAAATTTCTGTAGAGCTTTAGTTAGTTCTCGCCAAGTGAAGGTCTTAAGAGGGACGATAGAGTACGCATGCTCATCATTATGCCTACCGCTATACTCGAATACTCTTAGCTCATAAACAATTTTCTCGGCGGAAACTTTGGAATTTTCTGATTTTGACAGCGGGAAGGGACGGAGGAACTCTGATGTGCTCCTGCTATGGATGAATTAGAAGTGCCATATTACGTCGATGGCGACCTAGATGAGTACTATGATGATCCTGATGAAGCCTTGTTGTACGAACATTTGGAAAAAATGTCCAAGTATGGGCGATTTTTCTACATGTTCCAGTCTTGTGTGGGACCGACGACTGTTCAGACATTTGACTTGGTCGGTCCTCTCTTGGTAATGTGCTTTATTCTACGGGTTGTCTCGGCACTTAAACTTCCAAGACTTGTAGTTCATTTCGTTTCATTTATCTGTGGACTAGGAGCTTTATTTTTGTTCCTGAAAAAAAACTTGGTATATCCACTGGCCATGAGCGCGCTTGGGTATCTAATTCTGTTCGTGAAGCACGGAAATAGAGGGATGGTAATGGCTTCGACTTCAGTCATGTTTTTAATCATATGGTGCGTCTTGTTGTTTATAATCTCTTTCATTTAGTTCTTTGACCCTGCTGAAAAGGAATTTGCTGTAGATGACAGAGGCACATCCAGAAATTATGGAAGGGGGGAGCCAAACTTTTATTTAGAAAATATAATTTTGTATTGGTATTATTATCTTTTTTCCACTTGAGCCTAAATGAGGTTGGAGTATTTAAAGGAAATTTTTAACATGCCTAGTTTAGTAATGATATGCCATCCTCTGCTATAAGAATTTTGGTCCCTGTCAAATAATTAAAAAATCACTTATGTCTGATGAGTGGGGTGGGGTGGGAGGTTGGGGCTGAATCCCCCACGCCCTTCCACCTGGCTCCCCAATTGGATAAGAGCCAAAAGCATCTGAATAGTGCATAGGAGATCGTAGCCTGTTTAGGTTCTTTGTTAATGAGTTTAATAAAAGGCAGATGAGTTGAGAGAAAATTGCTGGGAACCTGAGAGAGAGTTCTCCTTGTCTTTGTATTGTATTTTGCAATACATATACTTACAATACAATATGGACATTGCTTACAAGAAAAAAAGGGGTAAAAAGTATACTAATACATGGCTTTTAATTTTAACCTACTGTAGGCTGTTTTCTCCTTGTTGCCTCAATGCATCTATTTTGCTTGCATACCCCTGCTGACATAGAAGCCTGGCCATGTTAGTTGAAAAGCATTTTTCCATTTTTCCTAGGTACACACAGTGAACCTTTTTCCCTGCATTCTCTGTTGCCTCTTTAGTGCGTGAAGCAATAAAGAGTCTGGCTAATTATGTACAACTTAGTTCTTTGTTTTAATTATTCACAGTGAACTGTTTATTGTTACACCTGAAAACTGGCACCAGGTTCGAGGTATTTGCTAAAAAATCATTTTGTTCATATCAGAAATACTTAGTCCTTGTTATTCTATGATATGACCTCTCAATCAAAACATTGATCATACTAGTTGGTAGAAAGAAATTCTTACAGCAGAACCTGACAAAGAATGTTTTGATTTAAGTATAATACTTTTTATTTTTATATTGTCCCTAATTAATTGTTAAAGTATTTCTTTGTTTTAAATAGAACATGCTGAGACAATTAAGTCTGTTATTTTTGTTAATGTTTCATAAATTGTGTATATCACATGAGATGATTGGAAAGAAATAACTTAATGATTATTGGAATCTGATTTTTCAGGCTCTCAGATGGTACTAGTAATGAAGCTTATTTCATTGGGTTTTGATATGGATAAAGGTACAACTCCACGGCCTAACATCGTGGAGTATCTTGGGTACTCTGTGTCAGTCAGTTCTGTCATCTTTGGACCTTTTCTGACATATTCAGATTATTGCCAGCTTTTGGATGGAAAAAAGTTGGTAAGATAAAGGATAAATTTTTAGCCTTACTTTGCACATATAATCTTTGTGCCTACAAGTGGTGAATAGCATTGCCAGGAATGGCTATCAGTTGTAATTGGTATCAGCATTCTCATTATCATATCCTAATCGTCACTGTGGTTAGGGTTATTAGTATTATATCTGTTGCTTGTCACTGTCATCCACATCATCATTATTAGTTTTTACACAATCATCATCGTTGCTGGCATCATTCTTACTCCAGTTTTGTTTGTACACTCTCTTTGTGCTGAGTTAAAATTAATGTCTGTGAATATATGAAAATCATGTATACATGAACTGGGGTTTAAGAAAGGAATTTGAAAGCAATCTTCACAGTAATGAACACTACTTAAGCAGTAGTGTAAATATTAGGCCTGAAAAAAATTCAGGCCTGGTCTGGATATGAACCCATGACTTCTGGGATACCAGTGCAGTGCTCTACTAAACAAGCCAACTGGGAGCTGGTCATTATGTTGGTTCGTAGTAAACTGGTGAAGTGATGAATCAATGTCTATGAATATTTGAAAATCTTTTGTGTGAACTGCAGTTTAAGAAAAGAATTTGAAAGCAATCTTAGCAGTAACAAATGCTACTTAAGCAGGGGTGAAAATAAGACCTGAATAAGATCCTGGCCTGTCTATGATTTGAACCGATGACCTGCAATATCAGCACAGATATGTTCACTTAATGATAAAATCTAATTAACCCTTTAACTCCCAAGATTTTATTAATAATTCTCCTTACTGTCTGCCATACAATTCAATTAATGTTAGTTTAGAGAATTTGGAATTGGATCAACCAATAATCCCCTAATTGATATTTTTCTTTATTCTTATTACTTGTCTGTTTGATATTGTACTGATAGTGTAAGGAGAAATTCTGTCTTGGTCACTAGTGGGACTTAAAGGGTTAAACTAAGTAAAATGTATCACTATTTCTCTCTCCTCTTTTTCAGAGCTTTGCCTGGTTTTTAGGAGTAGTAAGGAGTTGTTTTCTGTCCTATTGTTGTTTAATAGTTTCAGCTTGTGTTGCACCATGGATGTTTCCAGAGGACTCTTTTAAGTAAGTGAGATTTCAAATAATAATTGATAGAAATAATTCGCTAGTAAATTAATGGCTTGTGTATTTGACATTTGGGTGGATAATCTTATGGTGTTGAGAGATCAAAAGAAATTTAATGATTTTTTTCCACTTATTTTTATCAACATCATTCCGTAAATAGAATAAGGGAGATGGTAAGTGTTAGAGCCCAGTAAAGAAACAGAGAAAGATGTTTTTTTGTCAGTCTTGTAACGAGCATGGGACTAAGAAAAAAAATACTGAGTTCCCATGAGGAATCAAACCTCAGACCTTCAGATTCTGTGCTCCCATGTTAAGTATCACTGAACCACAGAGACTCTACAGTGAGCAAGGTCTATGAGGAAGTTCATATGACATGCATACTGCCAGGATCAGCAATGTCTATAGCATCATGTTTGTAAATAGTGATTAAAAATTACATTAACCCTTTAACTCCCAAGAGTGACCAGGACAGAATTTCTCCTTACAATACCAATACAATATCAACCAGACAAGTGATGAG